GGTGTTAAGAAGAGAAATCTGGAGAAATCTGTGCAAACAGTGATGGAAGGCTGTTGTCTTGGTGTATCCCTTGCCTCATAGTCAATATATTTTTTTCTTTGGCGAGTCACCAGTGACCCGAGCCCTCCACACCAGCCTCCTGTATCTCATCAGGTCCCTTCTCAGTACTGTACTTGCTCAGTGCATCAGGAATGGGTGTATGGGTGTGTGTGGGTGTGAGTGTGGGTGTGTACGTACTAATAAACAACCTGGTTTTAAGATAATGTACAAATGGCCTCCAGTCTTTTTTTTTTTTTTTTTTTAAACTCTGAACTCACCTGAGATTTCCAGCTGCTTTCACAGTCATAAAGGCTGCTGTACTCTGGGAAGGAAATATACAATTTTCAGAACTTATAATCAATAACTGTCTGTTTATGTAAGCACAGGATTGATAGATTAATGTTTGGGTTACATGTGCCCAGTGGGTAAAGGACCAGATAAGGAGAGAAGAGCCTGGTGTCTTCTTTCATCTCTCTCACCTGGTCAGGCTGTCACCCTTTCCCGCTGCTCCTGGAGTTCCTTCTCCTGAATGCCCCTTGGTCACATCACTCCACTGTTCCCGTTCCCACTTTCAGCAGCTCCAAGCACCTCTAGATCAGAGTTGCAGTTCCTCCTCAGTGTGGCCTAAGAAGCCATTCATGACTTGGCTCCTTCACCTCTCCTCCTCCCACCAGTCCCCAGTCCACCTAACTCAGAAACATGGTGTCCACCCAACCCCATCACCAGAAGGCAGCACGACTGCTTCTGTCCTTACCGTTGTAGTTTTGAGCTGACAAGACCACTTCAGGCATCACTGGGGAGGCATCACCTGCCTTTCCCCAGCAGAACTAGTTAACCAGCAACCTCTGCTCTCCGGACACTCTGCACACTGCACAGGCTGGGCAGTGATTGCCTTCCACGCTGGACTGCGAGTTCCTTCCTTTGGGGCAGCCTCGTTGATCTCTGCACCCCTAGGTGTATATCCTCGAATGAATAAATGCACCAGCCTTCTCTCAGAGGGTTGTATAAGGATTAATATTAGTAAAAGCTAAAAATTACTGAGTAGTATTGTTTGCCAGACACTGTTCTAAGCATAGTAAATATATTAACTCATGAATCCTCACAACTCTGATATATTCTTAGTATTTTCTAGAACAGGACATTTTAAGACTAAGATAATACAGCTGGTAAGAGACAGATGTGGATCTCAAACCTAGGCTTTCCTGACTTCGGTGCCTTGTCCTTAACTATGATATGTGTGTTCAAACTCCTGACCCAGAGCCAAGAGTTTTTGTCTTTGTTTTTTTCATTAGGAGTAGCATGATGAAAAGGAATGCTTATCAAATGTTGCTATCTTCTCTTTTAAGTGAACTCAAGCCCCTACCCCTCAACAAGCCTTCCCAAGCTACCCAGCTCCCTTTTGCTGACTCCTTTGTGTGTACAACTCACGTGGTCTTTGGCTGCTATGAATCTTCGGGGGGCCGTGTTTCCCCTATTCCCATGAGTGGTGAACTCCCCTTTGTGTAGCACAGTGCACCCTGCATCGTTGTGTCCTCTTTAAGGCTGATGGTGCCCCAAACATGGATGGAACAAGGACAGCAGAGTCCATGGGCACAAGTGACAGGAGGGAGTGGGACAAGGCACCCTGGACACAGCCCAGGGAGGGAAAACAGAGGTGAGGGAAGGTACTGGCCCTGTGCCTACAGGCCTCTGGGAGTCCCTTGCTACCCTCTCCAGGATCAAAGGTAAAATTGATGAGCCTTGGTGACTGGCTAGCGATGGGAATGAGATCTTCACTGGAGGGATCCAGGAAAACTATGACTTCGTTGTGCTGCCTTCCACTAGGACAGGGGATATAGACGGAGCCGACTTATGTGGAAATGGGAGTTTGATTTTGGACATGCTGGGCTTAAGGTGAGAACTGGACATCATGGTTCCATCCGCACTTGTACGGAAGAAGAATCTAGGTGTCTTTCCTTGAACCCTTTCCTTTGCTCCCTCTAGGAATGTTCCAAGCATTGAGGGGCCAGGAGCCCGGATCCAAGTGGGGACCTGTGGCTGAGGGGGACAGGGATGAGGCACAGCCAGAATCGTGGAGGGGCTATGATTGGAGTTCCCACTCAGGACTGGGTTGAGCTTCCTTAGCCAAGATCCCGGCTCAACCTGAAGTCTTCCAGGCCCACCCTCAGGCTTTTCTGCCCCAGCCTGGGGTCCAGAAGCCTGGGGAAGCCCAAGGAACCTAACATGTTGGGGTGGCGTTTTATCCAGGAAACAGATACCTGAGCTGAGGGGTATCTTTTCCTCTCACCCTCTGCCATCCCTCTGCTGCCTCCCTCTCCAGTTGATCCACCCTGTCTATACCTGCAGCACTTAAGAAGGTTTTCCAGTCTACCAAATAAATTACTCTGAGAGGTTAGATCCCTAGGAATGCTTATCGGAGTGCCACAAGTAGCACTGTAAGCATTCAGTTCACACCAATTATCTCAGCACTCTAAGAAGTTCCTATTTACACACCAACAATTGGTATGCCAATTTTAAGTAATATTTATCTTTTCATTGTAGTGGATTCCCTAAAGTCCATTATTAGGCAACATTTGATTAACCCGGTTTGATTTATTGTAGGTGCTTCCAACTAAAGAACACATTTGAGCTAATCTCCCTAAAGAACTCCAACTCATTATTCATTAATTGGAGTCTTCTCTGTAATTCTGTTGTGAAGATTAAGCATTTGCTAATTTAAGGAAGTCCCCATGTGGCCGGGCGCAGTGGTTCACGCCTGTAATCCCAGCACTTTGGAAGGCCGAGGTGGGTGGATCACGAGGTGAGGAGATCGAGACCATCCTGGCTAACGTGATGAAACCCCGTTTCTACCAATAATACAAAAAAATTAGCCAGGCGTGGTGGTGGGCGCCTGTAGTCCCAGCTACTCGACAGGCTGAGGCAGGAGAATGGCATGAACCCGGGAGGCGGAGCTTGAAGTGAGCCCAGATCGCGCCACTGCACTCCAGCCTGGGCAACAGAGCGAGACTCCGTCAAAAAAAAAAAAATTCCTCCTGCTTTGATAACAATTGTTTATTCTGTGAAAATAACGAGTGAGGCTGGGCTCCTGCTTAGCAGAGTTTGCCATTCACACCTGTGGAATTCTAGCAAATTGTTTTTCCCTTAAGGACTTAAAGACATGAAAAAGTAAGTAGACAGAGTGACTACACTCCACCATGGTAGGGATCTGTTGCATCCAGTGTCATTGCTGAGGACTGTTCATTCTTTCCAGAGTCTGAGTGAGACCCTCACTATCTAATTGTCAGAATAACTGAAGAGGAGTAGACTTAAAAAAATATATCCAGCAGCCCCAGAACCTGTGCTTCAGCAGAGCTGAGTGCCTTCCTTGGCCAGCCCTTCTTATCCCAGTGAGAAGGAGGGTGAGGGATGGGCAGGTCACAGCTGCAGGTGACAGGGCTGTTTCCACCCTAGGAGTGCGGGAGGTGCCAGAGGCAGAGGAAATGAACTTGAGGGGAGAAGATCCTCCATGAATGTGTTCTGAGAATTTTTAGGGGGTAATAAAGGAGTAAATGTAGATTCCAGAGCCAAGGCATTGCAGCCAGCCCAGTTGCCCTCCTCATTCTCCAGGGCAGTGAATCAGAGCTAAGAGTCATGGAAATGACCTTGGTCTTCCTTTCCAGCCCCTCCAAGGGGGAAAGACTAAATTCAGTGACACCAAGTTGAAAAGAAGAAAATCCCACCAATGGGAGCAGAGGAGGCCAATTTGGAATTCCCAATAAGCCCTGCCTGACTGGTTTGGGACAAGCAGGCAGTGGGGGAGACCCTCCCTTCTGCACCCTCACCTGAGTTCTGTGAGTCTCCAGAGGCTTCTTCTGATTGTTTTCCTTAGGCAGAGTTTCTGAAGAAACTCGGGGGGCACAGTGTTAACTCTCCTCTCTGGCAGTAAGGTCAGGAGGGTGGGTGTGGGAGAGATGGCCCAGCTGAGCTCAGAGCGGGTGCAGGGGGGTCGCTAGAGCCTCAGGCAATACTGGGTTAAGTCCATTGTCAAGGGCCCCAAAGAATTAAGTAGGGCTGGAATGTACCATGCTCTGAATCCCTGCTTTGGTAATGATTCTGAAACTTATAATTTGCAGTAAATCACATGAACTTAGCCCCAAGCTGTTGGAATTAATAACGTTTTCAGTAGATGTCCATGTTCCGTTTGAATTCTAGCTCCTGTTAACTCCCCAGTTAATCCTTGTGTAATGTCTAACCAAAAATCTCTGTTCTCAATTTCCCACCCACCTTCTACCCTCAAGAAGCTAATATTTGAAAAACAGCACCCCAAATGAAGAGAACCCAGCTTCTCTTCGATTGTTCTTTGTGGACCCCTTTACCCTCCCCGAGCTAAATCTGAATCTCCTTCATGCTGGGAGCTGCAAGCAGGAACCACAATCCCCTTCTGCCTGGAGGGAATGGAGGAGAATGGGGAGGGGCCATGCTATTTGGCCAGCAAGGAAATGACAGTGTCTGACCCCACTGCCTTCCTCACCTCCCACTTCTCTATAGGGCTCCTGGTGACACCAGGGCAGAGGTGGGGACTAGGGAAGGGAAACCACAACTTCTAGCTCTGCACCCTGGCTGTAGGCTGAGCACTGGGCTCACGAATTGCTCAGTTAACTGAAACCGGAGGACCTGCTGGGACATGACGCAGAGCACAGCAGCCTATGAGCAATGGCTGTGAAGTATAGTCATAGCCAGTTGTCCTCCGTGTCCCACAAGGATGTCTGTGGAATCTGGTCTCCACCTAGACTGAGGTCTAGATATGCTCGACTTCCTTCCTCATGGTGAAAAGAGCCGGGGTCCCCAGTGCCTAGTGACCACCAGCAAGATGAGGCCCTCAGTGCTGTGGAGCCCCGCCCACTAGGGTGTGTCTGGACTGCTCAGTGGGAGGGGGCAGGGCTGTCAGTCATTTCCCTCCCTCTGCATTATCACCGACACTCTTCTGGCAACCAGTCTTTATTCATTTTTTAAAAAAGGAAATCCAAATAAGTTAGCAAAAAAAAAAAAAAAAAAAAAAAAAAATACAAAACAATGGCAAAACCACACAATGCTTAGTTAACAAAAGAAATCACCCCCAAGAGCCCCCAACCCCCTTTCCCTGCCTGTCCCCGGCAACTTCAGCACAGGAGACCTTGGTCAGATGGCAGCTTTACAAACAACACACAAAACAAAACAAAACATAAAACCACTGGAAGGTTCCCAATATTCACTGCAAAAGTTTGGCCCCCCAGGGACTTGGGAACAGAGGATTGTTTCTCTCCCCTTCTTTTCTCTCAATTCAGGGCAGGCCCAGCCCAGCCACTGGCATCGTGAAGAGACCAGAACAGGAGACGTGCACAGCTTGTCCAGGTCAGGACACTGTCTGTGTCACTCAAACCGTTTCACTTAGGGGGTGGAATTAGAGGCCATGTTATGATAAAAAGGAAACTCCTGAGTTTGCCCCCTGAACTGGGGCATACACGAGGGGGCGCTCTGGTCCCCTGCTTTACCTTCCTGGAAAGGGGATGCCCTGTCCTCTAAGGAGGCAGCTGAATGAGGGCATCCAGTACCTTGCTGGGGGGTGGGTTAACCTTACATGGATGAGGAAGGGGATAGTCTGGCCTATGGCACCCCAGAGCTGGCTTCCTAGCATCAGGGCAGCCTGGCTTAGGAGGCCCCTGCTACAGAAGCAGTGGCATCTGTGGTCAGCTTGGGGGGCTTGCAAGGATGCCTGGCTTGGCAGACAATCTCAGTTGGGCATGGTTTCATCTGGGAAGGCCACAGACACATCTTCCACTGTGATGCTGTCCACGATGGAGGTGAGGGAGTGCAGGTTGTGGGCATCTGTAGGGTCAGCCGTGAGCAGATGATCTGTAAGGGGAGGTGGGAAGGTGGTACCTGGGTGAGGAGTGGGGGTTCTTGAGGCCCAGAATAGAGGATGGGACCCTTGGGGTGACACAGGTTTTCCAGGACAGATGGGGGATAAAGCTCCGGAGTTCTACTCCCTAGTCCCTGCCTTTCCCCATGCTCTGTGTGTGTGTGTGTGTGTGTGTGTGTGTGTGTGTGTGTGCGTGCACGCGCGCCTCTTCTCTGAACTCCCCTATGTGTGTGTGTGTGTGTGTGTGTGTGTGTGTGTGTGTGTGCGTGCACGCGCGCCTCTTCTCTGAACTCCCCTAGTGAGGTAGGGTTTGGAAGCAGTCACTCAAGTTGGAGCAGGATGGAGCTCCCCAGAGACTGGACCTGCCCTTTGCTCGGCCCGGTTTTGCAGCACTGACTCAGCACTTCGCAGAGACCCCTGGGGCAGGGACATTGTCCTCTCTGTGGAGAAGGTCAACCACCAGGCATCAGCTGGGGAGCTGCAGGAGCCACTATCACTCCTTTGCTGGTCAAGACTGCAGGGCTACACAGAACCTCCCAGCCCACCCTTTGGGTCCTGGAGTCAGCAGGTCCCTGGAGAGACCCAAGGGAAGAGGACCGGAGCAAGGAATAAGGTAAGAGGGAAGAACCTCGCCCAGGGAGGGACTGAGGGATTGGAGTCAAGGTTACCAGGGTCAGGCCTCACTTACCCCCAGGGTTGGCGCCGAACTCCAGTGCGCTGCCCCACTCTGGACTGCAGGAGGCGCTGTGAGAGCTGCATTCGCTGGGCACCTGCAAGACAGGGCGAAGGCCCAAGGTCGGGGCACAGCCATTCTTTGATGTGTCTCTCTGCCTAGTCCCAGTGGGCAGAAGCACCTGTGGTGGGGTTGGAGGGTGGGCCACAGGCTGTGGCCTTCCAGCCCAGGCCATCCCCAACCCCAGAATCTTAGTAACCAGCTCCTCTCATGTCCTAGAGGCCCTGCTTCCAGGCCTTCTTGGCTTCCATCCTGAGTGGTGGTTCTGCCCTCACAGGACCCCAGGTTAAAGGTCCCTGGTTCTCCTGACTCTGGTGATAAGGGTGATGGAGACAGATTTTCTGGCCCAGTGAAGGTCACTCTGTGCAGGCCTGCTGGAGTTCCAATGAGACTGAGTGGGTTTTCTCTCTGCTCAGCCACACCCAGGATGGGGGTGGGGCAGGGGGCAAAGCAGCCTTCTCTGGTGAACTTGGCCTGGCCTTTTAGGCTCTGACTCAGGCTCTGTGATTAATCCTCACCCTTACCCGGGCTGACTGTGGCCTTGCTCCTGATCCTTTCTTCAGTCCTGTGTTCCCCACCCCCACCCCTTCTGCACTTCCTCCCCACTGCCTCTATCTCATCTGGAAAGAACACAGGACACAGGAGGTCAGCTGGATAGCCCAGCTCTGACCAGGGAAGGGCTCCTGAAGCCCCTCGACCCTGTCTGGCACCTGCTCCAACCCTCTGAGCCCCTCTTGGGGTCTTGAGGTTGTCCAGGTGCCTCCCTCTGGCCCCCTCCCCCTGGGGCAGGGGGACAGGATGGCCACTTACCCCTGGCTGGGGCCCACCCCCGCCCCGGTAGCGGAGGTCACGCTCCTCCTGGTTGAGGGAGCTGAGCAGGGTCTGGAGACGCTCGATGTATTGGATGGCGCTGCGCAGGATCTCCACCTTGGGCAGCCGCTGGTTGGGGTTGAGCAGGGTGCTCCTCTTCAGGGCCTCAAAGGCCTCATTCACCTTCTTGAGCCTGCGCTTCTCCCTCAGTGTGGCCGCCCGCCGCCGGTCCACGGACACCGACTTCCTCTTACACACCTTACACGCCCACGGCAGGCACTGGCCCGGACAGTGCTCAGGGGTGCCCAGCCCCTTGTCTTCGAGGGGCCCTGGGGTCTCGGGGCTCAGGGTGAGCTCCGTCCGCTCATAGCCTGGTGGCTCAAAGCCCTGGAGGTGGACAGGCAGGTAGTTTTCCCCGTCATAGAAGCGGGGTTCCTGGTAGAAGTAGGGGGATGTCTCATACAGCTCCATGGGGTCAGAAAAGGCTTGTTCCTGCCACCAGACCCCAAGCTCCTGCAGCCCCTCACGCCAACTGCTGGGTGCCATTTAAACCCTCCCTGCTGGCATGGAACCAGAGATAAATATAGCCAACGCCACAGAAACCTGAGCCCCCTCTAAGCTGTTGCTGCACATCAAGACGTTTACAGTGGATTAGATGTGATTCCCCTTCTCTCTCCCCCATGGCCCCCACCCCACCCAGCCAGCCTGTCCCTGGCCCAGGCGGGCTCCTGTGCACGGGTCGGGAGGCCGTCGGGTGTAATTTGATTAGTTTTCATTTCTCAGCAGCCCCTGTGGGGCAGGGGCATTGGGGGAGGACACATTCCCCTCTCATCTGCTCCTTTCAATTACTCCTAGCTGGGCGGCCTGCCTGCTCTCTCCTTGCTAGTCCCCAAGAAGCTGGTGGGTGTAGGGGGAGGAGGGAACAAGGAAGGGTAGGCTTAGGCTGGAAGAGGCCTTAAGAGCCAACTTATCCATCTCCCTGCTTCCTGACAGCACCTTAACCACACTACATCAGTCGATGAGACTCTTAAAGACCTCCCTCCCAAAAGAATGGGACTGCTTCAGATTCTGGGCATTCATGGGCACTCAGTATCCGGGGATAAAAGGGATCAAGACTCAGAGCAGCTAATAGATTCCACTTTTGGGGTTCCCAAGCAGCTCTGACCTGTATGTTCTCTTAGGTCTCATGTGATGGGGGGTAAGTTGAGGCAAGAGAAATTATTTGGGTTTTGGTTTTCTTGGCAGGGGTCAAGAGAAATTTTCTCTTTAATACAGCAGCCGTGGTCAGAGCAGAGATTAGAATTTACAGCTTACACGTGCCACCTTCCCCAGAGCCACAAGGTCAAGATGTACTAAGCTCCCTGTCTCCTCCCTGTCTCACTCCGGACCATTGATCTGTCCTTCTATGTTACCTCCTCAACTCTTTTTCCAACACCAGAATTTTCCTGACTCATTACTGTGGATGGGGGTGAAAAAGGAGAAAAAACAGAGCCCTTCAAACTCAGTGTAAATCTCCTCTCTCCTTGGCCATCGGGCTTGGTGGTTCTGCCTCTTCGTCTGAGCCATCAATTTTACATGTATCATGCAGGTCTCAAATGTCAGGTGGAGCAGGGACTGTATAATCTTCAGGCCTCTCAGGCCATGATCACCTCTCAGTAGGTGCCTCAGGGTCTGAGAGGACAAATTCTTTCCAATGCAGTGGGCAGACCTCAGACACCAGCAGTGAACAAGGCTCAGTCTTAGGGCTGGGGATTATAGGGACACCCCAGACAGGGTCCCTGCCCTCGACCTTACCATCTGGTAGACAATGGTGGTCACCTCTTTCTACCTAGCCCCTGATGACCGAATCTCCTCCCAGGCAACCACTGTTCAGCTTCTGCTCACGTCAGGAGACAGCCCGTTCCATTGACGTGCAGCTTTGAGCTGCAATCTTCTCTCTCTATCTTTTACCCTTTCTTTCTAGTTTTTTCCCTTAGGCCCCATAGACCAAGTCTGATCTGTCCTGCTCCTCATCCTATGACAGATCAAAATGACAAGTTCAAGCCAGTGGCAAGGACAATGAGAGGAAGGGGAACCCTGCTGGGGACTCAGGGGAGATTACAGGGGAGATGAGATCTGTGCAGCATGTGAAGAACCTGTGTTCCTTCCTCTCATTATTCACAGCAGAGAGCCAGGAGAATTCTGATGTCCTTTTGGGATAGGAAACGGGGGGAAGGAGGGAACATAGCTGAACAATAAAAGAGCCCTAAGCATGTTGAGGGAGAACAGTGAGGTCTTAATTCTGTTCTTGGCCTTACCAGCATGATAGAAAGTAGCAGCATAGACTGGGTGTGGTGGCTCATACCTGTAATCCCAGCAGTATGGGAGGCCGAGGCCGGTGGATCACGAGGTCAGGAGTTCAAGACCAGCCTGGCCAAGATGGTGAAACCTCGTCTCTACTAAAAATACAAAAATTAGCTGGACATGGTGGTGGGCACCTGTAATCCCAGCTACTCAGGAGGCTGAGGCAGGGAATTGCTTGAACTCAGAAGGCGGAGGTTGCAGTGAGCCGAGATCGCGCCACTGCACTCCAGTCTGGGCGACAGAGCGAGACTCTGCCTCAAAAAAAAAAAAAAAAAAAAAAAAAAGAAATTAGCAACATAGGTACTGTGTGGGTTCTAAACTTTGCTTTCCCCTGACAAGCTGGGCTGAAGAAGAGTCTCTATTTCCAACACATCCCCTGCCAAACAAAGAAAAAAGAAAAAAAAAATGCCTCAGTTTACTCTCCAATCCTATGAGCCCTGAGAAAAGAAGTCATGTTGAAGCCACTAAAGGAACTCCTATATTTGCATCTTTTGTAATTCCAGGATCCAGTGTGACTTACCTCTAAATAATATGTCTTCCTCTAAAATGGAGGCAGAGCTGGCTTGCTCTATGGTGATTTCCAGACCTTACTATCTAGTTGGTGAGCATGGGCTGACATGTCAAAGCTGGATTAGAAGACAAGGGAGAGCTATGATGATTCCACAGCAAACATGGGGGCTGTGATCAATTACAAACCAGTAGATTCTTCAAAAGCGTTTCGGGAATTTTTGGGACGGCAAAATCGCTGAAGGCTGGGGCTCTGCAAAAGGCTTGGGGAGCATGCTGGGCCAGCTCTTGAGAACTGGTAGGATTCGGATGAAGAGAGAGGAGTAGGGGAAGGGGTCTTTGGGTAGGCTGGTTTGTATGGAGCTTGGGGTTCAGGTAAGGGGGCGATTGGAGACAAACTTGCACAGAGCAGAGGAGGCCCAACTGGGCAGGGAAGGACTTGAGAGCTGAGGCAAGGAGACCACACAGAACAGCGTGATGGTCATCCAGGAATGAGATGATGAAGGTCTGAACAACCCCCTCAGAGGCAGGAGGATGAATTCGACTGGGAGAGGGCGCATGTTTCAGACTAGCAAAGGATGGCGAGTATGCACGCAATAGGGGAGTGGTTGTATTAAATGATAATGTACTTGGCACATGGATACTCCTGGTAAATGTTATTCCCTTTTCTTGCTTTGTCTTCTCTTCTACTTCTGCGTGCCCTGCAGGGGACCACAGCAGCAGGAATGGAGGAGGGAAAACCTGGCTCCACCCTGGGTGTGTTTATTCATTCATCCATTTTTTTTTTCGATCAAGTACCGTGCATTCAGCACCTTGTGCCGGGTGCTTGGGTTACTAAGACATGCCCTGTCTGCCTTCAGTGTGTTCACTGATGTGTAAGGAGAATGAGTTCACAAAGTCATCTAACCAAGGTAGAAAGAGCAGGCTAGAGAAAGTGCTGATGTACTCCAGAGAAGGAATTTATTCATTCACTCCATCTGCTCAACACACATTTACTGAGAACCCACTCTGTGTCACTTCCCCGGCTGGGACCTGACCTGGGGCAAGAGCAGTGCCTAGACTCGGCGCTTGCCTGCAGAAGCTCTGTCGGGCATGCATTTGGCCTTCTGTCTGGATGATGTTTGCCTCTGACCAAACATGAGGGCAGAGCCGGGAGGTTAGGGTGACCTTGTGTGCCTGGTTTCTGTGAATCCCTGTCTGTGCGTGTGTTTGTGTATGTCTGACTACAGCAGCGTGGGGACCATGTCAAAGCCCAGCTATGGGGCACAGACCCTCCTAGGACTGAGCTGATAGAGTGAACCAGGTGTCTTTGACCTCTCCATACCCTGATGGGGGGGGGATTGGCCCTTTACCCATCTTGTTCTTCTCTCAGAGCCAAGCTGTGGAGACGCCTCATCTAGAGGCTTGGTCCTCCTCCCCCCGCACCCCCACAAGCTGCCCTCTGATGGATGGGAACACATTGGTGCCAAGCACAGAACAGCCTTTGTGCTCCGCCACCAGCGGCGATCCATCAGCTCCAACCTGACAGCAGGGCGTCCGGCCCTAATCCCCATCCCTGCTGGCTTGGGCACACAGGGCCCCCTGCCTCTACTGTAGCCTCCTCCTCCAGCAGTCCTGCGCCCTCCAGAGGAAGCCCTTACCCCTACTGGGGCTCCAGAGCCACACTGTTGGCTCCCCCACCCTGACTGTCTCAACTTGATTCTGTCTGTTTGCATGCTGGGCTGATGTCATTTGCATGGTAGCAGCTGGATTTCAAAATGCTCAGAAATCCCCTTCACCTGCTCCTTGCTCCTTACTACCCCTTCTGCTGCACACCCAGTCACAGCTCTCTGGCCTTCAGCATCTTCTAGTCCCTGCTGATGTTGCAGGTGGGCTGACCTGGGCTGCATAGTACTTGGCTAAAATCAAAGCAAATTTTCCATTCTGGAGTCTCATGTGCTTGGGAATAGAGGAGCAAGAAGGAGAAGGGTCTGGAAGGGTGGGGGCCTCTCGCTACTCCAAACAGGTCTCCCACCATATATTTTCCTAGGCTGGATAGGATGAGGTGGGAGGGGGTGGGGGGTGGGGGGAGGCGGGTGGCAAATGCATGTGCATTTCAGTAGGACATAGATGCATAAAAATTACATGCAAATCAGCACTGATTATTTGTGGGGCAGTAGCTTTGCAGCAGAATGAGAACAGATCACAGAATCACAGAATGTCAGAGCTGCAAGGCAGTCTAGAATCCACTAGTCCACCTTCTTCCTCCACATATGGGGAAATGGAGGCCCAGAGAAGGGAAGTGACTTGCCCAAGGGTACAGAGGATGAATGTCAGAAGTGTGAAGGGTGCCTGTTCTGAATCCGGGAGCCTCCTCCCTCCCTGCGGCTGGCAGGTGAGGAAGTGTAAGTAGTAAGCAGCAAGTGAGTAGATATTTCCCGGTGGGCCTGGGGTCACAAGTAGGCAGATAGTGAGGGGTTGGAGAGTTTGAATGGAGGGTTTAGAGAGGCATCAGGAGAGGTACTGCTGGAGAGAGGAAAAGAAGATAGAGGAGAGGTGTGAGAGAGAGGGTGGGCTGGAGGTGCCGGGCAGAGGCCTGAGGGATTGAGACGGGAGATTTGGAGGCAGATGCCAGGATTGAGATGTGAAGAGGAGGGGA